CTTTATTATGACTACGATTTACTATCAGATTTGGAATTGACATAATACCAATGCAAGTATATTAACCATAGTGATCATTTCTTGATTAACAACACAGGATCTCATTTTCACTATCTCCCATCTCAAATATATCATTATTTCAACTGCGGGAGTACTTATTTAATGGAGGCTATAACCTTGAACTAAATTAATACTTCTCCTTCCCAATATTACATATGTTTGTTATGGTTCCAAACAACTAGAGATTCCCATAATATTGATAAATAGTATCGGTCTGAAAGAAAAATATTCTTTTCAACAAATCCTCTTCAGATTCTACAAATATAAAATGCATTTGTACAGCATGAAATCAATCCAGGTTAGGGACAATTACATTTCCGAAATAGAGTGAAATTTAGGGACTGCAAGGAAATTGATTTACTTTTTTTAAATTAGTCAATACTGAGATGATACACATGCAGGAAAATGATGCGATAGTGAACAAAAAGTTAACGAATAAAATGGCAGGAGTGGACTTTAGTTTGCTGAAGGCCAAAGGAGAAGTAATGCTTGGATATATTCTTTCTGAGTGCAGAGTTCATGCTTGATCAATCTTATTGCGACAGCCTCCGCTATGTTGAGCAGGCGTTGGCAACATATTGTGGTGTCGTCTTTGGAATACGATAAATGACATGGAAAGCTTAATTAGTATCTATGTGATGCTTTGTGTCAACTAGGTGTGCTAGAACCGGGCTTTTCACCACTTTTACTTCACCCTTTACAAACCAACCTGGTAAATGCTCTCGTATCTTGAGACACACCTGCTTAATCGTACGTCCTATGTAACTAGTTCCACAAGACCAGTTAAACTGATGTATGCAGGATGAAGTGCTAAGATTAGGTAGGTTATCCTTTAGTCTCGCATTGGATATTGGCTGACTACTGAATGATGTCTAAAGCCAACCTGCATAAAACGTCTTATTGTCTGATCTAGCTAGGTGATGTGATAGAATATCACTTAGAGCATCTCCCATTGAATTTTAAGTGCAGAAACAAAGGCTTCTTCTCCACTGTCATCAGTTCTTGTTTAGGACGAATGTAGTTGATGTCAGTCTCGATTGTATCCGTTTTCACTCTGAATACCACGGATAGACAGAAGTTCTTTTTCTACACACTACTTGGAATATATCGATCTTACTGTAAATGTGAGGCACTTTATTATATTACGCTTGTACTTAGTCGATATGAAGCTGAGAAAGTGCGCATACCGTAGACGTTAGTTTTCTACATATACTTCTCAGTATAGAGCCTTGTTTGTTTCTTGTCATTAACACATCAAGAAAACGTATCAAATCATTGATTTCATTTTTACATGTAAAATGAATTGATGGATTAGCACTGTTGTAATGGTCCAGAATAGAGTTAATACATATGCATCTATCGAAGACTAAGAAAGTATCAACTATATACTTACAGTAAAACTCCATATTGGCAATTTGAAAATGTAATTGTCCCTAACTTAGCTTGATTTCATGCTGTACGAATTCACTTTATAATGATAGAACCTGAAGAAAATTTATTTAAAAAAATATTTGTTGTTGTGATAATTTATTAAATGTACTTCAGATACTACTGACTGCTACACTCATTTCACTCATCCAAAATAAAAGGAAAAATAAAAAACCAATTTATTTACATTCCCAAGGTCATTAACTATTTAGCAGACCGCATTTACAAAAAAGGTTATTTTTATAATGATAGACAGGTCAACTGGATAACTGTAGAAACTACTGAAAATCTATTGAAAATATACTCTGTGTTTATATTGACTGATAATTCACAGTAGGGTAGTCTGAAAATGGTAGAATGAATACATTTCCAACCAAAGTACACATAGATGATCCAAATTCCTTACTTTTTTCTAAATTAGGTGAGATTATTAGTGATGAATTAAAGTAACAGTAAAAACAGCTGCTAGATGTATAAATCATTCCTTGTCTTTTACACTGAATAGAATTTTCAAAGCTTCCAAATGAACACTATCATAACTGCTAAAATTTAAGTAGGATATACCACTATTTGTTGTAATTTTCATTCAATAAAATTAATGAAATGCAGACTTCTCACAGGAAGTCGTGATATGTGGGTCTAACCAAGTTGACAGGAAGAAAGAGAGGTGGGTGTTCACCTATGACAACACGTGATGAATAGGTTACATTGGGGGTGTACAGAATTAGGAAAATGTGGACCGTTGAATCCTAACTCAGTAACTGATGATAATGCACTCACCATGAGACCAATTTGTTTTAGGTTTGGTACTTCAAGAGATCATGAGTGCGCTGTGCTGAGGGGTCTCAAACTACAACAAACTAGCTAGCCAGTGCTCCCATATTTTCACTAGTTCTCCAGTTGCTACGACTCCACGATGAAAGCAACTTCAAAACAGTTACCTCCTCAAACCACTAATCGAACACAAATTTTTACAACAAGCATCATGAGAATTATACTGTTTTATTGATATAGAGATATGAAGTAGAATAATGCACGATCACTGGGTGAACAGAAATTGTAATTGTAATCTTGGGTTTTCATATAATTTGAGTGAATTCAAATGCCTTCCCAGAAATTCCTCTAATGACCAGTTACGTCTCATCATTTTACCTGAAAATGAAGTTTTTCGTAAAAGGAAGAAATCGAATATTGATTAATTCAGCAATTGCAATATTGGCTTTTCACTCGTACAGTTCATAAATCAAGGTCAGTGAGTAGATTAAAGGTTACCCACAAATTAGGCGACCTTACGCATGAATGCCATGGTACAACATAAAGAGACATATTTGTTGATACTTGTAATTCCTTATTGATATTCTGGATCGAATTCCTTAATATCTGTTGGCAGATGGGCGTCTATGTGGATACCTCGACACTGACAGCTGCTGATGGGACAAAATGCGCATCCTGGATTCCTTTCCTAGTCATCAAGTAAAATATAAACGGACTTATTTATAAAGTACTAAATTAGCCACAGTGGCATGTAACAATAATAACCGACTGGATTTGCATGATTCATTTAACTATCACAAGCATACTTGTACTTGGTATAAAAATCATTTAATAAATGGATAAAACTATTTCTTATACGTTAAGCAATCAGTAGGAACTTGATTAAGCTTACTGGCTAGGTATATCAAATCATCAGAGTAAAATGCACCTGACTGATATAACCTGATGTGTATCTTCTTGCTACATGTGATGTATCCATCTACAACTTTGATACAATTAGCTAATAAATCTTTTGATACCACACATTGTGAAGATAAGAACAAATATTAAATTAGGTCCAATTTTTTAGCTAACTGAGAGATTTGTTTGACACAGCTTGATACCAAAGTTCCATCCACCCAAAAGTGATAAATCTTCCTTTATGATTCTGGAGACATCACAAGAGGAATTTGATCAGATATTACTACTACTACTACGGCTACTACTATAACCATTATCATTACCATTACTATTACTACTGCATTATCAAAGAGAATACAAACTTAAAATTCTGACACTTAGAATAATGACGAATAGGATAATTCAGGACTTCTTTGCACTTTCTAGTCAGAATACAGCAATAAATTCCTCAGTGGATGTATTCGCCTAAATAGTTTGATATATGTAGCCAAATGAAGAAAATGAAGACAGTATTCCTAATTATAAAAGAGGTTTGACTTAGGAATATGATGGACGTCAGTCATTTCTAAACGCAATATATAGAACCGAGAAAACTGCTGAGTTAATAATGACAACAAGAAGAGACAGAAAAGTAAGCTTAGATTTACCGCATTTTAAAATCAGTATTACTTAAAGTCAGTTAGTTTTATCCGGATCATTCTTTTTCCTCCTAAGATGTGTAAGTTTGAATTTTTATATGGTAAAATGCACATGTTGCTGCGAGACCATTTCTAACCGCTTTCATGGGAATCGTCTTAACACTTTAATGAACTAGTGTAGCAGTCTTCAACTAAAATATTGATAAGACGACCCGACATAGTCTTTTTTGGAGGAGGATAAAGTTCTTTTAAGATTAATGTAAAACCCAGTTATTGTTATCATTTTGGTGTCATACATCGGTTGCCACAGCACCATACTATTACCTGAAAGTGTTCACTTCCAACCTCACAGTAAACAAAGTTTTTAAAATGGATTGATCGTTAGCCAGCAACCATTTTCATACTGTCAATTCCCAAGTGCTGACAAAGTTCTATCAGTCATTTTACACTATGACTGTTAAGATAGGAGGTTTCACTGCTGTAAACACACCTTTATCGGATATATTTTGATTGGAATGAGAAGTCCTGGCTGGATGGATAGCTTAACAACGATAAATGTACATTTAGTCTTCAAGCAGTCATGTAACATCTGGATAAACGCGTCCTGAATGAAGTCAATTTAAAACCTGTTCAATAGCCGAGACTATTTGACCAGCTGATAGAGCCCCGGACTAATAAGTCAAAGTGTGCTGCAACTTATTTCATTCTATTTGACCATCAGTTATCCCTCTATATCACTAATTTCTTTATTCCTCCATAGTGGTTAATGGGTTTGTGTATTAAGGGGTATTATTATTATTATTTGTCCCCTTGGTCCCTAGTGGAACATAGAGCTTCAGTAGCACGTCACCATTTCACTCTCTTCTCTGCAATCTTTTCAGCCTGGTTCCACAAAACCCCACAAACTTTCACTTCGTCCTCACACGATCTCCTCGATGTCACCCTCACACGCCCACTTCGTCGTTCCCCCTTTGGATTCCACTCGAGGGCCTGGCCTGGCACGTGATATCACAAATGGTCTTCCCAGTGTATGCCCAAGGGGGTATATCAAACCATTTTTCCCAAAACAAATTAGCAAGGTATAGCCATCAGTTTTCCGTATTTGCATTTTTAGTGACGATAATTCTCTATTCTCACATTATTTGATTATTATTGAATAATTTTTCAGTTATTATTTGTTATTCTTTTTCTTTTGTCCAGTCCCCTCCAAATACAAAACCTCCAGTAATGAAGATTAAACGTATACTTTCAAGTAATAAATCATTGAAGAGCTCCATAAAGACAATGTCATCGAAAAACAAACAAGCTAATTCCTAAATATGCTGCCTTCTGTAAATTCATTGAAATCAAGCTGAGAAAACAAACTTTATAAATTCCTGTCAGTTTCGTGTTTTTCTTTCCTTTTGCTTTTTCCTATTTTATTTCTTTTTGTAACAAAACTAACTCACTTATTTTCTAGTTTACACCTAAAATACAGTATGTTTACTTGTATTATACGTACATGAAACTATAGATAACGGGAATCCATGAACCAGATATATAAAAGCTTCAACGTTTTTACAGTACACCGTACCTTTACTACTGACTACCACTACTCATACAAATAGTAGTAATGTTCATGCTGCTAATACTAACGTAATCATGGATACTATTTTTGAACAGATTTTAACACAACTTTTAAGCAGTAGTGAATATTAAAGAGGCGAACTATAAGGCGTTAGTTAACAGATGATAGTGTGTTGAATTACAACTCCGTAAAAGTCTGATTCATGGGTGCTAAAGGTAGCGCACAACTACACTGTGGATCAGAAATGAACATAAACAATTTGTGCAACATATTCTGGAAGTTAGCCACCAAGCAAATAAATTTCGTCTAACTGGCTGTGAACAGATAGTTTATTTTTCTTTCCTTCTACCTTCATCGCCTTATGCAGTACAAGGACTCAAAGTATTAGACTAACTCATAAGTACGAATTATTTTGAAACTGCTTACTTGAAGAAGTAGTTCAGCACTAAAAGACAAATATGAAGTATTTGATCTATCGAAAGGATGTCAGCATTTCAGAGAATTCTAGATTACATTTTTCCTACATGATCTCTTACTATTTCTCTTTTTCTATGAATAACACATGAACATTTCTATTGTTAAAACGTTTAGTCCCTCCGATTCAATAACCAGTTTTAAAACTCATTTTACTGCCTTGAATAAATCTTTTCGAAAATATACTGTTTGGTTTGTTTTTAATCCCTTTCAGTATCATTCACTTTATTAATTTGGTAGTTATAGTTCGTGTACTTATTATTTAGTTAGTAGCATAATGTTTAACCCAAAATAACATGACTGATAGTTTTGTACAGAATACTTTAATTTGTAGTGAAATATGAAATAGCTAGCTTCTAGAAAGATAAGACTGCAGTCCACGGTCAGCTGTCTCCATATTTCAATTACCGTCCTTTTTTCAAAGGCACTACTACAGGGAGCATGCTGTAATAAATTCCGTATTAAATCATATCATATCTTCATCACCCTATGTAGTCAATGGGAAACGGTTTGACAGGCAACAAACAAAGATAGAGCCAAATCTTCCTGTAGCAACAGTTTTACATAGAGAATGTGTCATTAAGATTAAAGCAGAAAGCTAGTGGTTTAGAGGTCAACTTTCACTTATCTAATAGCAGAAGTCGACAAATTCAGCCCTATACAGCAACCTGAAATTGCAAGTTTCATAACAACAACTGATAACCATTGCACAACAGGTGGATATAGTTCCCCAGTAGCACAATGGATAATGTGTTGTCCTTTTACCAATGGATAATAGATCCGAGTCTCAGCGGGAACAAAATCACCCACTGTAGTGCAGGTACATCCAACAGACGACTCCCAAATAGAGCCAAGCACGTGTCCTGGATTTCTCTGGTAGTCACCAACGCAAATGTAACATCGTGAATGTTCACTAGTATAAAGGCAGCTGGATACGATCTCATCTGCTAATGCAGGTTGAGTCGTTCGTCCCTGTATAACAATGGGAGATTAAAAGCATCATAACAACTACCTACTAAACTCTCTAAGTTATGCTGCATCAGCTCCCAATGTATATTGTGATCTTCTGTAATGCTTGCTGCTGTTGTTATTAGACTAAATCTTAGTATTTGGAAGGGATGAGAAGTTTTAAAGTGTTAGGAAGCGGCTAGAGTCCAAATCAGCATTCTAAGTTATCAGCAGCTAAAGTAGATGTTTTGGATTTCAAACTTGTATCATGTTACTGTGTGGACAGAGAAAACTAAATTGGACAATTTTGTCCTACAGCTGACCAATCAGGATAAGTATTCAACGTATGACTCAACGGCCTTATTTTTTGTTGAAAAACTGTATATAAATGATATGTTCTTTGTAAAATAAAGTTTCCTTCCTTACAGTCACAGGCCGGTCTTTGCTTTCTGATTTTCTCGGCTTAGTGAAGTACCAAGTCTGAGGGAGAACAATTGCTACTTGTATCTTATTGCGTTAGTAGCGTTTATGGTATACCGTATTATTCTGTTAGTCACTTTCACTCAGTCGCTTCAATAAAGCAACGCATGCTCATCTATATTTTACTGAATTTTTTCGAATATGTAAAATGAGCTGTAGTTATAACAACTTATAATTGTCCAACTGACTTTTTCAACTTATGTTAAGTCTATTAGTACTTACTGTCTTTTCCCACTCCATTATTCATAAAGAATGTTTGCTAACCTCAAGTTTTCCACTCACTTTCATAGTAAAAATTCACTGGTAATGCACTTTCTTTCGAGTGTGGAAAATATTATGATTGCTGAATTATGAAGCATGCGGATGAATGTGGATTCGACGAATGGATATTATGAATACCAGGAAGCAAGTTTTAATTACTCTCTTTGACTTTCACCTAACTGGTTAAAAGATTTTGTCAAAAGTAATTTTTTAAAACAAAGTCAAAAACCACTGATAAAATTCTCGAAGGAAACGTCATCTCATATACCAAGAATCTATCAGTCACATAACCCACCCTCCTTAAAGCTCTGCATTCCACAAACCTATGGAACTTCTGGAGTATGTCCTAAAGTAAACCAGTAGAATCATTTGTTGAATAAGATGTGTAGAAAAGAATGCATAACTTCCGCTGTATAAATTGTAAATCTAACATTGTGTGGCAGTTGGACTGGCCAATATTATAAAAGCCTTCAGAAAGCCAAACACAAACCTTCAGGAATAAATATTGTTGAGGAATTTCCAGATGCCTGATTCTCAGATTATTTGGCAGTCAATCATCATGACAGTCTCATTGCCGCATTTGTATGTATTCGTAATTCACGCAGAGCAAGAGATAAATATTCTAGGCCTCAAGAAAGCGCCAGACTGGGACAACGTGAGAATTATCGGTTAGTCATATCACATCAACGCCCATGCTCCTAACTAGACTCTGTATATCAGTTGGTGAATTCAGAGGAAAACTTTTCTCGTGGAGCGTAGTCAAGTTGCAGTAAGAAAAGGATTTATTTTAGTTGAATCGAACTCAGTAATACTCAGCCATTCGGATCAAAGAGACCTACATCAGTGCATTTAAACACATAAATCTAAAAAATTACAGTTAACCGACCTCACTCCAGTATCTTTAAGCAAATGAAGTCAGCTAATTATGAAATTATAACTCTTACAAAAGATACTGATAATATACCCAGTATTCAGATCCAGCCTACACTGAGACCGTCTTAGGTCCTCGATTATAAATGAGCTAAAAAGGCCAGTCACGAATACCTATGACCTATCAAGTTTTGTTATTACGTTCAGAAGTTGAATTGGTGATGATTACTATGAAAGTATTAGAACACTTAACAACCGAAACGCCAACTTTGATAAAATTTATTCGGAACAACATTGAATGAAAATTAGTTTCCAGTTTACATTTGACAGTCTTCTAAAAAGAAATGTAAATTTCTCAAGACATATCCTTTCCTTTTTCGGTTTTAATAGTTCAAATAACACCTTTCTTGAACTGTTTGGTTTGGTATAAATGCCTGACCTTATTCAAAATTGTTGTGACTAGACACTATTTGCATCTAACTGGATAAACATTATTAACTTTCAGTAAATTCCTAACTCATCTGATTTCATCATTGTTCCATTTTACTAATATTATATCCAGTAAGTTAAACTTGTCCATATTCAGTGGTTATTTGTACCAAGTAGTTTGTGTGCCCTTGCAATGAAAATGAAATATGTAATTTCATCCCCTATACTATGCAGATTCCCAGATGAAAGAATGAATGAACCTTGCAGTGCAGTTACTTTCTTGAGTTACATTTTGACTAGGATTGAATCCACATCACCTACCGTGAATCTTATTTGAATATGCTACGAATTTAAGTTGAAATTTTTCTTCTTTAATCAGTCACCATAAATTTTTATGGACTTAGTTACCAAAACCTGTACACGTCTTTCACTAGGATAGAGTATGAACAAAACTCCATTAATCCATGGGGAAGCCTTATATGACTACAAATATTAGATGAGAAGATGAAAGAATCAGTTAACCCTAAAAAGGAAAATGGGGTTTAATAAAACCATGAAGCGAATCCGTGGGACATTTTGTCTATGTATTAAATCCAATAACGTATCGGTTATATGAAATCTTTTATTCCTCAAGTATATGTATCCGTCAGTAAGTTGTAAGCTACTTTCAAGAGGCACCAAAAATCTACTCCTTGCACATCCTCTATTCTTGATAATTGAATTGGTTTAACATTCCACTCTGAATACACTATGAGTTGCAGTTATACGAGGTCAATCTGAGGCATAATCTTATTTGCTGAATTTAATGGCTGTAATATTTCAAATGATTCTTGTTATAACTTGAGTGTTTGGAAATAATTCTTAGGTGCGTACGATAATTTTCAGAGTAAACCACCGCTGCAACATTGTAACTCAAGATATTTAAACAAGGTTTCCGAGTATAGCTAACTTCCATGTAGCAAGGTGAAGTCTTCACATTAGATGCGACACTTAACACGAAGAGACTATAGTTATCTTGAACTTAGAAACTATAGTAGCATTTACGCACCTCAATCACTGTTCATCATTGATATGGAAACTGAAAATACAGGCAGTATAAAAGCATCCGCTCAGGAGCCCATGTGCCAACTGAGACCGATTCATTCGGTCCAATCAACGATAGGATAATACAATCAGCACCATGTAAATTATAACCGTCACACAATAAATAGCTACCATGACTCGGTGGCCTAGTGGACAATACTGTGGAGTTGGAAGAGACTGGTTCTGAATTCGAGTCTAAGTGGGT